ATGATGTTTGTTCAACTCATAACCATAGTAATATATCTACAATTACAATTATAATTTGTTTTTTCATTTTATGAACAATGTCTTCAAGAGGTACAAGAAGTTCACGCCGGCAAAAAAATCAGAAAGTTTGGCTGCTACCTCCATTTACTTATGACTACAAGAGCGAAAAGTACTCGAGTCCGAAAGATTATTATGCTGATATCCGAGCAGAATGGGCGTTCAGGGTAATGGAGCAAGAAGGATTGTTTAATGATCTACGTAACTTTGGGGCACCGGTACCTCATCGTCGTTCATTGAGCATGGCTAGACGAAATGTCAGTGACTATGAAAAAGCAGTTAGTAGAATTAAAAAGGAGAACAACAGAATATTGATGCGGAGATGTCAACATTTCATGCTTCAACTAGCCACCGAAATGACAGAAGCAAGCAACAGAGATTTGACAGTGATTGAGCGAAATAATGTCTTAAACAATGAAAAATATCTCTCTGACTACTACATGTCAGATGAGGAATGAGAAATCAAACACCGTTATCTTTCATATATGTTCATCTAACGTACTGATGTATTTCAAGTATTTGTTTTATGAAGCTGAAGTTTATGAAATAACTACATTTATAAGTACACATTTATTAGTTCATGACTTTCTTTATTGAATTGCAATGAGTTAATGAATGTTCTGGATTAATGAATGGATTAATGTATGTTGAATTATGTGAATACTTAAAACACATAAAACATAACAGTTGGGGGACTAATAAAGTTAAGACAAACGAACTACCGCCTTCAATAACACATAAAACATAACAGGTAGGTCAGTGAAAAGCTTCCCTTAACTAGGGCTCGTGAAATAGGGATGATTCTCTATGTAAAGAATTTCAACCTCCATCAGGAAAGAAGAAAGAGTCACCTTTCAATTCCTGGAAGTCTAGTAAAAATGATGACTCTGGTAAGGAATGGGGGGTTGACAGAAAACTAAACTTCGGGGGCTGGACAAACAACCTCAAAGCCAAGTGGTTGGTCCAGTTGGGGGACTAATAAAGTTAAGACAAACGAACTACCGCCTTTAATAACACATAAAACATAACAGGTAGGTCGGTGAAAAGCTTCCCTTAACTAGTGCTCGTGAAATAGGGATGATTCTCTACGTAAAGAATTTTAACCTCCATCAAGAAAGAAGAAAGAGTCACCTTTCAATTCCTGGAAGTCTAGTAAAAATGATGACTCTGGTAAGGAATAGGGGGTTAACAGAAAACTAAACTTCGGGGGCTGGACAAACAACCTCAAAGCCAAGTAGTTGGTCCAGTTGGGGGACTAAGTGTAAAACCCAATTTGATTTGGTTGGGATAAATCACTATTTACAATTACTTATACCCAAACAGATTGTTTTCTGCACATTTGTAAAGAAATTGACGATTCTCTTAGTATAGAAACTAGAATGGTAACCACTTCTAATGACGCTGATTTGTTATTTTTCGGATTTATACCCAAAGAGAACAACACTTCCTAAATTACTGTGTAACACCAGTTTTTTGGACAGATTTGAATGCACCAGTTTTCTCGACAGATTTGAATGCACCATGATACTCACAAACATTGGTGGCCAAGTAGTCCTACGTAACCCACGTTTCACTCACAAGATCCACCATTATTTTAAAGTTGATTTTAAAATAATTCCAAATGACAACAAAAATTGAATGCACCAGTTTTCTAAACAGATTCATAATTTTCAATGAAAAACAAATAGTAGGTTGTAACAACGAATGATGCATAGCTACGTGAAACACAACATTGCCTACATAAGCTTCATTTTTTCACACATTGAGTAGTCAAATCGTAGAGAGACTCGTTAGTATATGCAGATGGATTGTGAAGTCATGTGACCTGATGCACAGGATTTGGTTTTCTCGATTTGTTGCTCGATTTTTTTATTATAGTGACAACTCATCTCTTATTGATATATGTGGGATTCTCAATTCAGAAAGTCACATGGCAACAGTGAATTCACTGAGTTACCTTACAGTGACCATGCCTTTACTTTGTCGGTATATGCAGATGGATTGTCAAGTCATGTGACTTGGTGCACAGGCTTTGGTTTTCTCAATTTTTTGCTCGATTTTTTTATTACAGTGACAACTCATCTCTTATTGATATATGTGGGATTCTTAACTCAAAAAGTCACATGGCAACAGTGAATTCACTGATTTACCTTACAGTGAGCATGTCTTTACTTTGTCGGTATATGCAGATGGATTGTCAAGTCACATGACTTGGTACACAGTATTTGTTTTTCTCTGTTTTTTCATTCTAGTGACAACTCATACCTTGTTCGTATATGTGGGATTGTCATGCAGATGCAGAGGCATCTTTCTAAAGCCGTTCATAACCAACTAAATAAATGACTAAAGGTGAAGACACAACCTTACAACTCATTTCGCCCTATGAAATTATCATTCATTTGTTTAAAAAAATTAGCATGGCTACATGGTTCATGGGAGGGAGTGAGAATCGCAGAGGTGGTAGGAACTTGCAAAGGGGTGGCAGTTTACGACAAGGAAGGGAAGGGGCCGTGACGATGCTGAAGACGATTCATGGGAGGGAGTGGGAATACCTGTTTTAGATTATGCTTGTGGTTATCGTAATAGGTTTGGGAAGCGACATTTTTTGATGCCCAAGTATTATCCAGTTCAAGGAGGTTCATGTATGGAGCCATCAGATAATCAAACAGGATATGGTTTAGCACACGCTAGACTTCTGAAGTGGCTCGCACTATTTATAGAGCGAGTGCAAATGGAAAGATTATGTCGGGAAAATCGACTGAAGGTGCCAAAAGCACGTTCTGTTGAGATCCAAAAGGAAGATCCTGATAATGTTGATCGACTATGTGAAAGACTACAACGTGAGATTTCTCAAATGCGCTGTAGGTTAGCCCGCGATATGCAGTTATACATAGTTAAGAAGGATGCCCAGAAGAACAAAACATAACCAAATGTTGCGGCTATCAAGGGTATCATGGAGGATCCTGAACTTGTCTCTGACGCTGAGCTTTCGGATTATTCAGACTCTGAGCCACCTACCGATTTAAGCGCAAATTAGGTGTTAATTTCTACGCTTCGGCAATATTAGGTCATGCATTAATATGTAATGTCTGTGTTAGACTAAGTATAACTGTTATGTTTATGTTTATGTTTATGTATTGTGTCTGTCAAATGTTGTGGCTATTAATACGCAATATTAGGTCATGAATTAGGTGTTTGTCTGTCTAACTGTTATGCTTATGTATTGTTTGTTCAGTTCAGGGTGTCCAGGACGTATGTAATGTATGTTCAGTTCATGGTGTCCAGAATGTATTTTTGTGGGAGAATTATGTTTGTACTACAAATGTAATTGAAAACTATTACATTTGCAACTTCAGTTATGTTGTTTTCATGCCTGTATGAGTATTTAGTAAATTAGTGATTTCGTATATTATGTATTAAGTTTTATTACAAAAATGTTGACAAATTTTATTTTAGGAGCTCTCGCGGTGGCCTTCGTCTTCGTGAACTACTCCGCGGTGGTCTTCGCATCTCACCCTTCGTCGTTGCTCGTCGAGCTGCACAATGTGTGGGTGTGCTTCGGACTGTAGAGCATGCATATCACCTTCTAACCCAAAACAAAGACGAAAGAAAAAAATAAATTTTTTTAATGAAAACGGGTACAAAACGGTTTTACTACACTGGTTTTCTGAATTACATTCTCAGCTTCTAACCCAAAACAATGACAAAAGAATAAATATATATGTATATTTAAATGAAAACCGCTTGAGTAAAGCCAAAATAACTTTCTGAATAACACCTTCTAACCCAAAACAAAGACAAAAGAAAAATAAAAAATTTACATGAAAACGACTTTAGTAAAGCAAAAAAATATATATATTAATTACATTATCACATAAAAACGGCTTTAGTAAAGCAAATGAAGACAAAAGACCAAACAATAAAGACAAAAGACCAAACAATAAACAATAAAAACGGATTTAGTAAAAAATTAGATTAGTAAAGCAAAATAACTTTCTGAATAACACCTTCTAACCCAAAACTAACACAAAACAATAAACAAAAATATTTACATAAAAACGACTTTAGTAAAGACCAAACAAATTTTTGAATTACATTTTCTAAACCAAAACAAAGACAAAAGCAACCAAAAAAAAAAAAAAATTTAACATGAGAATGGCTTCAGTAAAGCCAAACAAAATGTATGAATTACATTATCACCGAAACAATGACAACAGAAAAAAAATATTTACAAAAAAAAACTATATATAATTTAAATGAACAGTGAAAGTGTGATTTCAATCCATGCTTACAATAGTGAACAGTGAAACCATGAATTTTGTAAATGAACATGATTGCCTTAATAATTTCTAAATGAACATGATTTTAAAATTATATATATGAAAAATATTATGTAAAATTAATATATGAAAAGAGGTTTTTCCCATATTATGTAAAAATTCTGAATTACACCTTCTAAACCAAAACAAAAACAAAAGAAAAAAAAAAACAAATTTGAACATGACAATGGCTTTAGTAAAGCCAAAAAAATTTTATGAATCACATTATCACCAAAACAATGAGAACAGGAAAATAAACAAAATATTAAAAAATAAATAAATAAATGAACATTGAAAAGTAACAGTGAAATCGCTTTTCGGAATACGTTTTCTTCACAAAGCTTGATGCACAGTGAAATCGCTATTCGGAATAGCGTTTTCTTCACAAACGAAATGGACATTGAAATCGCTATTCGAAATAGCGTTTTCTTAGAAACCTTATTCCAAAAATGAAGCGCTATTAGAAATAGCGTTTTATTCGCAAGAAAAGTTTATGATAAAAGCGCTATTTGGAATAGCGTTTTCTTAATTAAAATCACTATTTGAAATAGCGTTTTTACTATTCACAAAATTTTAGGCTCCAAACAGTGAAAGCGCTATTCCGAATAGCGCTTTAGCCTAGTTTGGGAAATAGGATGCAAAAGAGGCTTAGTTTGGGAAAAGCCTCCCCAGAATTGTCATATTGTGGGTGTAGATGATTACTGCCTCTCGGTTGCTAAGGAACTTGGTGCAGATGAAATTGTGAAAGTTTCAATAAATATGCAGGTATACTCCTCATTTTGAAAAAAAATACTTCTTTTTTCATACATATGCTTCTCTCTTCAAAACCAAATATGTTTGCTTTTGCTTATATATAGTTCTAACTGATGTATGATATCAGTAATGATTCTTGGCAACATTTTGAGCTACTCTGGTGCACATGTATTTTTAGTTACATACAAACTCAAGGACATTTATCTAGTGCCATTTTTAAACTTTTACAAAGATAAGCAGACCAAACTAGTCTTATGTCTTAATCAAGTAAAGTAGGTCATACAATAAACTGCAGCAATTATGGTTCCCCATTTGCCATTTCTTAACAATTGCTTTGCAGGATGTAGATGAAGAAATAGGACAAATTCATAAAGCGATGGGGGCTGGAGTGGATGTGACCTTTGATTGTGCTGGCTTTAGCAAAACCATGTCAACCGCTCTGAGCGCCACTTGTCCGGGCGGCAAAGTTTGCCTTGTCGGAATGGGTCATACTGAAATGACTGTCCCACTCACTCCAGCTGCTGCAAGGTAGTGTCAGTTAAGAATATAGCCCTAAATTTGGCCCTTGGAAATCATTCCAAGTTGGTGAAAATTTTATCTTTCAAAAGATTAATTTAAAATTCTCTGTTAAATTTTATTTATTTTTTTTTTTTTTTGGTATAATTTTAATAGTAATGGGTTTTTGGTTTTTACTTCTGGGGTGAATTTCAGGGAGGTCGATGTGATTGGCATCATCCGCTACAAGAACACGTGGCCTCTGTGCATTGAATTTCTGAGGAGCGGTAAGATTGATGTGAAGCCCTTAATAACTCACCGATTTGGGTTCTTGCAGAAGGAGGTTGAAGAAGCCTTTGAAACTAGTGCTCGCGGTGGTAGCGCCATCCAAGTCATGTTTAATCTGTAAAGTCTTGAAATGAAAGAAATGTCAGTATATGAAGTTTGGAAGGAGTTAAAAGTAATGAATAATTATCTCAACCATGAAGTTTGATATGGTTTGTAAAAAAGTTCTAATGGCAGTATTACTCTTGTTGCTTCAAATTTTTGCATGTTAAATCAATCTTTGTATAATGTTTGATAAAATCTGCTAGAATGCTCGTGTATTTTTTCAATCAGAGTCCATTGTGCCCTTCACTTTCTACCCCTCTACCCCTCTTGGTGGTCATTCCAGCACGCAATTATCTATTGACTAAAAATAAATAAATTTGTAAACTACTTATAGTCATGACCGTTGAAATAGCCAATGAGGTTGAAACTCTGAGGAAAAAGCTTCGAACTGGGACGAAGGTTCTATCTTGTCCCAAAAATTTTTGCAGTTAAGGTGTGTGCATGGACTGAGGGTGGTTTGTTGGGGTGCAATGCAACCTGTACCTTATTGTATCGTCATCCAAATTAACCAACACCACTGTCAAAGCATGGCATCAGGGAAGATCCACCCTGAAATAACATAAACAGAAGAGGTGGTTGCTGACAGTAGCATACAGTTGCAAGAAAGCCATGGTACTTTCATGCCAGTGCACCTAAAATTTGTTTGTTGCATTACTAGCAATCCCTATATTGACCATGTTTGGTAGAACTATGGGAAAATAATTATAACTTATAGCCTAACAGCTTATAGTTTATAACTGTGAACATAAATTGATTTTTGACTTATAAATTAAGCTTCTCCCCCCACTCAATGAATAAGTTGATTTTTGACTTGCAAAAAGCTATAAGTTGTATTGTTAAGTTGAACCAAACACATCAAAATAGCTTAAATTAAGCTAAAAGCTGAAATAAGCTGAAAATAAACCCTACCAAACAGAGCCATTGTTATACACTACTCAAACTGAAGCAACGATGGCCTGAGCAAGCGAGGTTACTAGAAATCCACATTTGATCACACAATACTTTGCAAGGAGCCTGGTCCCATGAATTGATCATTCCTAAACAAGTCACAAAAGGTAAAACAAACACACCCTCTCCACATTAGATTAAGAAAGAGTCAAAGGTTTTAAAATTTGCTAATTCATAGTCATTGAACCGGTCCAACCACTAACCAAAACTGTATGCATTTTATGGACAGCAAGCAATCAACTGGGATCAGTCAACACAATGGTATGAAACACAATACCAACACAAACTATGATATGCAGAGCCAATGCCACTGAGGGCAGTTGCTGCCGTCAGGATCAAGCCAAGAGAGTTCAAAATTCCGAGCACTTGCTTCATGTTTCTCAATCTGCTATGTTAAATACACAAACAAGACCGCACATGCTGTACGCATGTTTACATTACCATAAAGACAACAAATTAACGGCCATGAATGCCCCAAATGACAATACTTTTGGAAGTGAGATCACGCATAGGAAATGATACATGTCTTCTAAATTTCAGTAAGCATAATTATTGATCATTTGCCGTGGTCACAGTATTTGCTGTAAATAGAAGAGTGACAAGTATGGAAAGGCAACAATTGATTTCTATGTATGTATGTAACTATATAAAAATATAAATATGAAAGATTTATGTGAACAAGATTTCTGTTTCCATTGCAACAGTACACTGTTCAGATAATAGTAATGCCAGCCCATACAATGCCACAAGCATATAGCTGAAAGGGAGAGGCAGGATCTACAATATAGACATGTGCAAAAAACGCAGACAAAATCAAATCTTAATAAAAAGAAACCATGGCAGATCAAAGATCCCACAGATAGCATGTTGACCAAGAACAACAAACCGATTGGATGGTTTTAATTCAACTGGCAAGTTTAAAAGCATAAATGAAGAGACCATAAGTGAAACCCATCTGGAAATTGTTTAGAAGAGCAATGGGGAAAGTCACCTTTGGCCGGCTATAATAGAACTTAGTCACATACTCCGTAAGGAGAACACACACAATTGCAGCAATCACATCATTGACTCCCAACGCTCCAAACGACAGAGAGATTGTCTGTGCCACATAAAAACCACCCGATAATGCGATTCCCCCAAAAAGTGCTCTCCTTGAAGGACTTGTAAAGTAATTCCTTGATTTCTCTGGCACAAGACGAATGAAATCAACCAGTCGTCGAGGCCTGTCATTGTCTTGCACAGCTTGGATGCTAAATAATAACCCTGATGATCTTAAAGCATATGTCCCAACTTTTTTGTGTGAAATCGTGGTTCCAGGAATTAAGCCATATTTGAGGAGGCCTGTAGAAGTTAAACTCAATGGATGTGCCATTGAAGACTGGTATCAATCAGAGATTGTAGAATGCTTTCCTGGAAGAAAGAAATGAACAAGGATTTCAGCCCATAGATGCAAGTTCCCCACAAGGACACAATAGATAGAGAAGCAATTGGATAAAACAACTTTGTAATATATATATATATATAGAAAAAAAAATGCAATAAACTAATATGTTGTGAAGCACCTGCTATTCTGCTCAATATAATCATGCAATCCTTAACTGGTAAAGTGGTACGAATTGGATCCTGTTTTCACCCCAAGTTGGGGGTTATGAGTAGGGGCAGGACTACCCCATTGCATAGCCGATCACTATAGGACCAAAAAACACAGTATTCACACCTGTACTTCCTAGATATTTCTACTCCATTGGGGATCAAACAAGAAACAAGCCTTTAACCGACTAAATTGTTAAATGTCATAATTCAAATGACAAGCAATTAAGAGTTCAGAATGCTAACAATATTATGACGATGATGTGAAGAATAATATTAGTTTGAATGCAAACTTGCATGGTATAACGTCCTGCAACCCTATCCAAACCATATCCACAAAGCTAGAAAAAGTAAATATAAGCAAATATTGATAGCCCTACCTAACATTCAATACAATGCTTTAAGAATTGGTTGTCATTCATCCGGTCGAGGATAAGAAATAAAGGGAACTAAGCCCCCTTGAAAGCACTCTTGAGTTCAAATCTGCTATAATATAAAGGTAATAAGATCACTAGAAGACAACGAATCAGTCCTCTCAACGTAGTAGTGTTAATAGACAAAGTTTCATGAGAAAACATATGACTTGTTTGATATTTTCCCTTTTTTATGACAAAGAAGCTCCCCAAGGCATGCCTTTTGGACCCGCCATAGCAGAGAACCTGATAACTGTAATAACCCACAAATTACATGTATCAGTTAAGTTCGGATAGTGTCAAACCCAAAAATGCGTTTGCTGCTCGTCCCAGAGTTTGCCTCTTAACCAGTACCCTACCCATGTGAGTTCAAACCAAGCAAAATTGAACAAAAAAGCCAACAAAAAGATCAAACTACAAATGGCAATATTCAGAGAACAAAGTTCTAATTGCATTGAAATTACAGTCTCAGAGAATCTCAAACCAGTACTGTCTATTTTTCATCAAATCTTTTTGAGAAAAATCCAAACTTTTCCTAAAAACATGTTTTAACCCATTTTTTAATGAAAGAAAATCATCTCCAATCCATACTCTTTTTAAAAATTTCACCAAATTTGATGAAGGGTTTTGTTCATCCTTGTTGGGTGAAAATTTTACCTATCCCTTGATTGTAGCTCATTTTTAACCCTTTATTCATCAAATTAAATGACCCATGATTGTAAAAACAAAAAGAATAATTAAGTGTATGTTGTAGTTTGATTTCAGTTCATAACAGGAAGTTACAGTCCTTGAAGTGTAGTCGAATATGTAGAATAAAGCGAGAACCAAACAAGATAAGAACCACCAAATTAGGTCAATTAAAGCTATAAGAATTGGTTCAAAAACCACAAATTAAAAAGAAATGGTATGAATAAATATGATGTTTGTTACCTATGGAATCCCTGAAACCTCTGTTTTCATTAGAGCTCCATTTCTCTCTTTCACTTGATCCTTGCTAAACGGGAAATAGGTACATTTGAGTTGAGAGGGTTTGCCTTCTCATAATAATAATACTAATTGGTTGTTTGTTTGTAAATTATATACATATGATTTTGTGAACGTGGATGTGGATGTCCGTGGATGAGAATGTAGATGTATTTTATTTTAGAAAATATTAATAATTTGTATCAGGATGAAGTAATGAAATATATATTGATTTTATCAAAATAGTTTTATTGCGACAATAATAAATCGTTGTTAATGTAATCATCATTTCTTTACATTTTATCAGTGATGGGTTAACCTGTCGCATATACATATTAGTTCAAATCTTTACCGACAGTTTAAACTATCACAAATATGGTATAAATTTATTTCTACTTTTTTGCAATGTCGTCGTTAATAATATTTTTCGCAACGGTTTCAACTGTCGCAAATACAATATTAATTTAATAACATTTTTTTTGCGACGTTTTAGACCGTCGCTAATAATACTTTTCGCGACAGTTTTAACTGTCGCAAATACAATATTAATTTAATAATACTTTTTTACGACGTTTTAGACCGTTGCTAATAATACTTTTCGCGACGTCAAAAATCGTCCTTAAAAAAGTTTTGGTGACGGCAACCAACATTGTCACTAAAAGTGACTTTTTTTTCTTTTTTGTGTCAGGTTAAACCATCGCAAAAACCATTGATTAACCGTCGCTAAAAAAAAACGACGATTTGTAACCGATGCAAATACTTTTTGTCACGTCCCCTCTGCCACCCCCCATTTCCCATCGCTGCTCCATCTCAAAAAGTCTTTTACAATAATATGGGAACCTTTTGCGACATTTAAGACCATCGCAAAGTTCTGATTTTTAGTAGTGTTGAGTTACTTTTTCAATTGTTAAACAGTAAGTTCTTTTATAATTTAACATCATATTACAAATGATTAATTACTTCACACCTTGAGATGTATCTATCGTTTGGATATTTTCATTATTTTTTCTTTTTGAGTTTAGATGTTATTATGTAATTCTTTCTTAATTAGTCGTTGTTAAATTTCTTTTATATATGTAGGTTTTAATATAATTAAAAGTGTTTATTTTACAATATTATAATTTAATATATATATATATATATATCATATAAAATCATTATGTGATAATTCAACTACAACATATTTATATTTAATTTTTTTAATAAATTTTATATAATTTCTAATTCTACATATTTTTATTTTCTAAATGAATATAAAAGAAAATTAAATAGTTAGAATTACTTTTAATTTTATATTATTAATTCTTCTTCTAATTTAACTATTATTTTTAATATCAAAACTAGTATTTATTTTAGGGGCATTTATACACAAGTTCTAATTTATGACTGTATGGCCTCGTTTGGGAATATATTTTTTTAGTAAGTTTTTGATTTTTTGGCTAAAATATGATGTAAAAAACTAGTATGCTTGGAATAGCTTTTTGATTTTTTATGAAAAAATATACAAAAAGTAGAGATAAAAAAAAATCTTTGACTTTTTAGTATAAGTTGTTAGTTTTTGATTTTTTTAATGACTTTTTAGCTTGTAGACTAAAAAGTGATGTTGCCAAACGAGGTAAGTCCAAACTAAGATTTTTTTGACCTTCAAGTCCCATTAAATTTTTAATAATTAAACGTTCCCTTCAAACAATGATTATTCATCATTTATGATAATCCGTAAAGGAAAATGATGATTTGACATTTATTTTGATTTTCAAAACTTTAAAATATCAACTTTCAAATTGAGAAAACTAAAAAAAAAAATTATATACAAAAAAAATTGAAAAAATAGAAAAAGCTGAATTATTTTTTTGTGCAAAACTAAAAATTTTGTGTCTATAAAGGAGTATGATGATGAAACATTGATGTACAAAATTGGGGGAAAAAAAAACTTAAAAAAAAAACTGATAATGTTCTCAATTTTAAAACTGAAAAGAAATAATTTTCTTGATTTTATTGAATAATTGAATTAAGTCAATAAGTAGAAGTGCAAAAAAGTTTAATCTCATATTCTCTTTTTTTTATCAGTTAGTAAAATAATTATCTGAAATATTACTATGCAAAATCGATAATATTCTTAATTTTAAAAATTAGAAAAAATTGATAATGTTATCAATTTTACTAAATAGGACTTATTAGTTTAAAAAAAATCTTAAATAGGACCTAAGCTACCATAATATTTGGAAGACTTTTAGGTAATTAACTCTTTATTTTACTATTTTATAATTTAATATATATCATACAAAATTATTATATGATAATTACACTTTTATAATATGATAGAACTAAAATTATTAAAATATACAAATAATTTAACTAAAATTAATATATATAAGTATTCAAGTAACAATTTTATAAAACCATTGCTCTAATATTATCAAAATAAATAATTAAAATCACATTTTAATTTTAATTTTAAATTAAAATTATTTTTTTATAACATATATTGTACCAGCAAATATTTAAAAAAAAAAATAACACGTGTATCGCACATATCAACTATTAGTTACTTAAATAATAATAATAAAATGTGAGATAGATAGGACATTATTGTACTGCTTTTAATGAATAATAAAGTTCTGGAAAATTACAAAAAGAATCTTCGGATTTAGATTTTATAACAAAATAAATTTTTAATTTTATAAATTTAAATATTAATAATTTAATTTGTTTTTAATATTTTTGTTAAGTAAAATTGATGAAAACATAGTAATTTAGTCATTAAATTCAATTTAAATATATGAAAAATGTCTAAAATATATTTTTTAATTAAATTTAAAAATTAAAATACATATTTTTCACAGTTTTATTTAACGAAAATAAGCAGATAATTTAAATTAAAAATGAATTAAAAAAATTAAATTTAAATTTAAAATTTCATAATTTATTTTGGTACTAGACTGAAATCATGATTTTTTTTTTTTTTTTAAATTCCTAAGTTTTTCCTTTGCCAAAAAAAAAAAAAAAAAAAAAAAAAAAAAAAAAAAAAAAAAAAAGAAATATATATCTATATTTATTGAAAGGGATGGAGCATTATCATAGATTTTTTTTTTAAATGTGATGACAACAGCAAATTGGATGAGAATCAAATTAGCCTATAAACATGAAAGAATATACAATAGCGTGATGTCAGATATTCTAAAAATTTTATTAAAATTATTATTAAACATCTCATATGAATGTGAGATTCATACAACGTGGGTTCTATGTAAATCTCACACTTACGTGAGATAATTAGTATAATTTTTTGATAAAATTTTTAAAATCTTTAACATTTTGGGAGTGTTTGGCAAATGTTTTTTTTAGCTTTTTAGGCTAAAATTTACCAAATGATAAAATAGGTTAAAATAACTAATAAAATAAGGAATTTTTATTGATAAGTCCAATTTAGAAGTGTTTTAACCCAAGAAATTCATGAAGGAATTTTTTAACCCATTTAGTCCCATGTATGTATAGTTTTATTCCATAAAGTCCATTTTCTTGATTTACACTATTTTCTTGGACAGTTATGCCCTTATATTTAATTTCGATACCCTTATAAATATTTTTGCAACGATTAGCAATTTAATGATGTGAACATTCATATTTTAAAATTCACATTTGTAGGAATGTAAATTGGCCCGTGGGCGGCCCGAAACCGGCCCGCGAGCCAGGGCAGGCCCGGCCCGTTAACAATGTGAATATTCACACTGACATGTTAAAATTCACATTAATAGAAGTGTAAAATTGGCCCTTGTCTCGTGGCGGCACGAAACCCGCACGCGGCCCATGGACGGCCCGGGGCGGGCCCGGTCCAGCCCGTTGACAATGTGAATATTCACATTGACATGTTAACATTCACATTGATAAGAGTATAAAATTGGCCCGCGGCCCATGGACGGCCAAAAGCCCGCCCGCTGCCCGGGACGGGCCCGACCCGGCCCGTTGACAATGTGAATATTCACATTGGTATGTTAACATTCACATTGATAGGAGTGTAAAATTAACCCGCGCCTCGTAGCTGCCCGAAACCCACCCACGGCCCGTGGGGGGGCCCGGCCCGGCCTGTTGACAATGTGAATGTTCACATTGACATGTTAACATTCACATTGATAAGAGTATAAAACTAGACAGCAGCCCAGGGCGGGCTCGACTCGGCCTGGCCCGGCCCGTTGACAATGTGAATATTCACATTGACATGTTAATATTCACATTAATAGGAGTGTAAAATTGGCCATTGTCCAGTGGCGGCGCGAAACCTGCCCGCGGCCCATGGACGGCCCGGGGCGGGCTCGGTCCGGCCCGTTGACAATGTGAATATTCACATTGACATGTTAACATTCACATTAATAAGAGTATAAAATTGGCCTGCGGCCCATGGACGACCAAAAGCCCGCCCGCTGCCCGGGGCGGGCCTAGCCCGGCCCGTTGACAATGTGAATATTCACATTGACATGTTAACATTCACATTGATAAGAGTATAAAATTGGCCCGCAGCCCGTGGGGGGCCCGAAACCCGACGCAGCCCGAGGCGGGCTTGGCCCGACCCGTGACAATATACACATGGTAGCTTGTTTGTTAATTCATTGTTAAATTTTGGGTTAATTATCATGTTCTTTACAAGTTAAATGCATTTATGCCTTTGTATGATTGTGGGTTTTAGGGAGCTTACAGAGATGATGAGGGGAAACCTGTGATTCTTCAGTGCGTTCGAGCTGCTGAGGCCAAGATTTCTGGTACCCAATTCTTGTGAGTGTTTTTCTTTTTTGTGGTTAATTTCGATTTTTCCCCCCGTTTTTATGACGAGTAATGTTAGGTATTATGAAAAAAAAAAATGATGAAAATGATCATGAAAGATTCTTCACTTTTAGATTACACATACAAAGAAAATGGATGAAAATCCTTCATAAAGTATTTATGATATTTTTTTAATGATGGCTAATATTATTCTTTTATGACTTCTCTCTGCTCTTGGATGTCAATAATAATAAGAAAAGAAAATTAATTTGGTGCTTGAGAAGGAAAAAATACTAGTCTCTTGCCTTTTTGTTCGCATAATTGAAGAGAAAAATGTGTTAAAGAAGGAAAGAAAA